ATGTAAGAACCCGAGGTAGCTGACATGAAACATGTCTTACATTAAAGTGACAGGGTCCAGCTGGTGCAAGTATCAAGTGAATCTTCACTATTTTCTGGATAAGCTTTTGAAACTAATAAAAAGATGATTTTGGACACAGAAAAAAAAAAAGACGATGACTTTGAAAGGTCACGTTTATTCCAGAAAGATGCTATAGATGTCCGTTTATTTGTTCATGTCGAGTTTATCAGTCCATAATGATTCTAATTTTTGACAAATCCAGATTGATGCATGAATCCATGTTCCATAACTTTAATAGTGGTGTTAGAATGTGATGGTGTAAAAACTCGATCTATGTAAATGAGCTTGGATTCAGTGAATAGAATTTTCATGTAACACATTTTCGCAATTAATTCTTATGTTCTAGATTTTCAAAACATAGATATTACAATGTAATCTCTTGGTGAGAATATGCGAAAGGAATGTAACATCAGGATTCTGAAGCATATTCGGTATGGAAAGCAATGGACCATGATCAAATCAACCTACCTATATATATAGATACTATTACTTTTTATTTTTATTTTTCCCTAAAGAAAGAACATGAACAAATCTTAGTGACAAGAGATCCCAGGTCTTACAATATATATCCTGGAAACTCTTTTTAAATCATCATTAGATAAAACTTTGATTTCAGTAATACTCTCACAAATAAATGTATGTCATTCTCAGCCTACTCTTTCTTCAATTGTTTACTTATATGCAGCAAATTAATAGGGATATGCTTATACTACCTTTATTTTAAGAAACATCACTCGACTGTTGCAGGCGATGGCTGATTTCATGACTGAAGTAATGGGAAGAACAGTACCTTTCGACCCTTCACGTGTGATATTGACTTGTGGTGCAACTCCTGCACTTGAGATACTAACTTTTTGTCTGGCTGACCAAGGAAATGCCTTCCTTGTTCCTGCACCCTTCTACCCTGGGTGAATATACCACATTTTAATGCTAGTATTTGGTTTTGGATGCATCACTCTTTTCTTTTGCAAATTTTTCCTCTATATGTTCTCACTGTCACATATGTGTGTGTGTGTGTGTATTCCCTCTATCTCATTTTATCTGTCATCTGAGTTTTTTTTTTAACATTAATCAAGAGTCCATTGATGTATGTAAGGAAAGTAAATTACTATGGTTCTTTTTCTATCGTCAGTACACCTGTCATTGATAGGGTATTTATAGTCCAGTTATACGGGTATGAATGAAAAGAATTGCCATTAATTCTTCTTGGTGTCCTGAAAGTTGCTGATAGAATGAAACGAATTTTATTTCTAACTAGTTTCACTTAAGTTCCTTCTTTTGAAACCATGAATTCCATTTTTCAGATTTGACAGGGACATAAAATGGAGAACGGGAGTCGAGCTAATCCCCGTCCACTGCCGAAGCTGTGATAACTTCGCACTAAGCATTACGGCCCTCGAGCAAACGTTCAACCAGGCCAGAAAACGGGGTCAGAAGGTCCGCGGGATTCTCCTCACCAACCCATCCAACCCCATCGGAAACCTGCTTAGTCGGGACACGCTTTACGATCTCCTCGACTTTGCCAGGGAGAGGAACATTCACATCATATCAGACGAGATATTTGCGGGGTCCACTTACGGGGACGAACAATTTGTGAGCATGGCCGAGATAGTCGACTCGGAGGATGCTGACAAGGATAGGGTCCACATTGTGTACGGCCTTTCCAAGGATATTTGCATCCCAGGCTTTAGGGTTGGGGTTATATACTCATACAACGAGAATGTGTTAGCGGCGTCCAGAAAATTGACTCGATTCTCATCACTTTCGACCCTGACTCAGAGGATTTTGGGGCCGATGCTCTCGGATAAGAGGTTCACACGGGAATTCCTGAAGGAAAACAGGAAGAGAATACGCGAGTCGTGTGATTTGTTTGTTGCAGGTTTAAGGGAGATAGGCTTGGAGTGCACGAAAAGCAGTGGGGGATTGTACTGCTGGGTGGACATGAGCCGTTTGATTACTCCTTACAATGATAAAGGAGAGCTCGACTTATGGGAGAAGCTTTTGACTATGGGAAAGGTTAATGTGACTCCAGGGTCCGCCTGTCATTGTATCGAGCCAGGATGGTTCAGGTTCTGTTTCACGACTTTGAGCGAGAACGAGATTCCTGTTGTGATGGAACGAATACGTCGAGTGGTCGATAGCTGTAAACCTTCTGTATAGAATATTGTTCAAATCTTGTGCAATGCTATATTGGTTGGTCCTTCAATTAATTTGCCAGATTTTGTCTCGTGGTTTTACGTTTGTCAGAGGAACATCTTTTCTTTTGAGGATTGCAACCGGTATAATAACAGTGTTGTAATGGAGTCGGTTGCTTGGTTCAACAGAGCTCAACAAAAAAAAAAAAAATAAATAAATAAAAGTTGTTCTTGTATCAGAAAACGTAGGAAAACGCCACAAACGTCGAACATATAAACGAAAACCATTGTTGACACAATTTTTTCTGCAGGTTTTGATTTGAACATAAACTGTTTCCACTCTCCAGACCTATTTTTAAATAAGTTGCAATTGTTTCTTCCACTTCATCTGCAGACCATTCATGCTTTTGCCATTGCCGAAGGCGAAGCAGCCCCGGGCGTTCCTCCTCATGAAGTCCTGTCAGGCGTATACAAGTCAGGCAAATATTAATATTATTCATTATATTCAATGCAGTTATTGCTAACTGAGCATTCAACTCACCATGGATGACTGTTCACGCATTCTGTCAACTTTCCTCCTGCAACTTCTCCTTCGGCTCATCACTATCAGCTCCCCAAGTGTCAACAGCGGCCTTTTCACTTGACTGGAATTTCTTTCGTCCGGAAACTCTTTATCATCCATTTCCAAGAGTCCATCTCTCTTTGAAAAACTCGAGCTCGGCACCAGCAGAGGAAAAAGCCACTCCAGGAAAGAGGCCCCTTCAGCCGCACGTTCATCCAGCGAGCCCGGGCTCTCGGGCCCCACACTCTCCGGATCAACTGCAGCTTGCTGAACGGGGACACGTGCGGAGCCAAATGAGCCGCTCGTTTTGAAGCTGCACGCTTCAGAGGACTCCGAGTCTGATGATCCATTGGGTCCTCCATTACTCGAGAAGCTTCTGTACTCATTTTCTGACGAGCGTTTCGGAAATGTGTAGGATTGGAGGGGCGTGCCGGGCTTTTCTTCCCACCCGAAAGGGACAGAGACAACGAACTTGACAGGTGGCGGGCAGGGATTGGCGCTGATCGGTCGGGGGTTTGGTCTCCAGTCCTTCTTGGGGGTGCCGGGTTTTTCTTCCCATACGAACGGGATGGAAATGGGCTTTCGCTCGTGCTTTTGCTCACTCAGGGGAAGCTTTGTGTCTTTCATGTTGGGTTTTGCGTTTTGGTTTACCATAGGTTTTGGTATGTTATATATGTTTATTTATGTGTATGTAGGAGGTGAAGTTGAGTCTCACTCGTGGATTGTCAACTAAATTCCTTGTGCTATGGTAACAGACCCATTTGTTTTGAGAATTAGGCGTACCTAATACCTGATTTGGATGATGACTTTGGGATTTTTTTCTATTTTTGTTTTCCTTAATGGTGTTTGACCAGTCCAGTTGACGACTGCACACGTGATATTTTTTTAAAGAAAATGCTACGGTTCCGTTACGGAACTATTCCGTCGGAATTTGCAACCGTTAGATCATTTATTCCCGACGGTTAGATGGTGATCTAACGGTTACAAACCCCGACGGAATGGTTCCGTAACAACACCGTAGCATCTCCCATTTTTTTAAACCTTAAAACCCTTAAAGCTGCCTCTTGTGTTTGGAGATTCATGTCCCAGTGAAGATTTAACTAACTTCGGGATGGTGCTCTTGGATCTACTTGATGTACGTTCATGTCTTTAAATAATTCTACGCACCCAGGGGATTCTCACTTGTTATTGTTTATAGTTAATTAGTTTATTATGAATAAAATTTAAATTACAAAATATCTAAAAAAATTCCCCTAGTATTAAGCTGCGTTTAGGTTGTGTTTGTTGTTTTTAATTATTTGGCGTTTAGACTAGTACGAACCCCGTGCGATGCACGGGTAAAAGATGTTCATTACATTAATATTTAGAAATTAAAAATTTCAATATTATCTGAAATTTAAATTGTGCAAAATTACATTAAACATGTTTATTTAAAATTAATACACAAACCGACAACGAAGTGTAGCTTTAGTGGTAAGAGGTTTCACCTATGATCTTGTAGAGCTAAGAGCTCGAGAATTTGGGGAAATTTTCTCTGTATTATTTCATATGAAAAATCACAGTACAAAGTGAAAGCACGCTCGATTATGTAGTCGAGCTTAGAATCCCATAATGACCAATACAAATATGCCAC